TTTACAGCCTCGGAAACCCTGGTCAGGTCACTATAGGTCAGAACCGACTCGATGGCAGTTAAAAACAACAAATACGGGTTGAATAAATATGGTGAAGGAATATAACCCTGTCGTACACGTTTCTTAATTTTAAAACATTCAGTGTTTCCATGTTCTGTTCAAACAACTGCCTCTTGATCCAGGTACAGATTTCTTATGAGCACAATTAAGTGTTCCACAATACTCATACTTTTCAATGTTGTCCATAGCTTGTCATGATCCACAAAACTGGAAGAGTTTGCAGAGTCAATAAAGCACAGGTAAACATATTTCTGGTATTCTCTGCTTTCAGCCAAGATCCATTGGACATCAGCAATGATATCTTTCATTCTATGTCCTCTTCTGAATCCAGCTTAAACCTCTGGAAGTTCTCTGTCAATGTATGCTTGCAGCTGTGTCTCTATTACCTTTAGTAAAACTTTACTCACATAGGATATCAAAGATATTCTCTGATTATTTCCGCCTTCTGTTGGGTCATCTCTCTTTGGAATGGGCAAAAATACAGATCTCTTTGAATCAGTTGATCAGATAGTTGTCTTCCATATTTCTTGGCATAGATGAATGAGTGCATCATGCACCGCCTCATTTTCTAGAAAGATTTCAATTGTTATCCCATCACTTTCCGGTGCCTTGCCCTTTGCTAATTCCTTCAATGCACCTTGAACTCCTTCCTTCACGATCATTGGCTCTTGATGAAATGCTACCTCTTAAAATGGTTGAACATTGATTGACCTTTTCCTTTTGGTAAAGTGACTGTATGTGTTTCTTTCATCTTCTTTTTATACTTTCTGCACCATTCAATAATTTGCCCAGAGAATCATTAAGCAAATCTGTTGTAAAAGACCTCTTAAATGTTTAAAAGAGTTAAGATGTCACTATGAGGACTAAGGTGTATCTCACACAACCCATGGTATTTTCAGTTGCCTCATATGCATTTGAAAGTTTAATGAATGTGGAAAGTCATAGTGAAATCAATGTGATTAAATAATGGTTTTGGGTAAGAATATTCCTTAGAAGCTAGGATGGTAAAACTTCATCTTTCAGATTTTGCAAGTATTACAAGGAGAGACCAATTTCTGTAGATGGACATGTTAGTAAGATGTAGGGTCAGCAAAAGACAGGAATTCTCTCAAGGAGATGAATTGGCACAGTGACAGGAGGAATGGGCTCAAGCACAGCAATGATTATGAGGATGGCACAGGACCAGTCAGTGTTCTGTTTTATTGTGCATAAGGTCACTATGAGTCATTACCAACTCAATGGCACTTAACAACAACAACAACAAAATACCAAAAGTACCATAGTGAGCCAGAATTAAAAGCAAATCTGCTTGGAAGAAGTATGGTCAGAATTCTCCTTAGAAGCAACAATTGCTAGACTTTGTCTCTTATACTTTGGACATGCTCTTAGCAGGAACCAGACCCTAGGGAAGGAAGTCATGCTTGGTAAAGTGGATGGTCAGTGGAACAGAGGAAGATCCCCAAAGAGATGGAGTCACACAGTAGCAGTAACAATGAGCACAAGCATAATAACAATTGTGAGGATGTTACAAACCAGACAGTGTTTTCTTTTATTGTTCATAAGGTCTCTATGAGTTCAAAGCAACTCAATGACACCGAACAACCTAACAGCAATCCTTCCTCAAATGGTTCTACACCCTTTGATTTACGAGTCAATGCAGCAGTTTTGGCACCATCAAGAAATTCAGATTGTCTTCCTTTTCTATTTTATTTTGAGTTTTAATAACAAAACTGCCTGAAGGGGCAACACCAGGGCTATATTATGGATGTGATAAGATT